TGTCATCTGGTTTATTATCTTTGGTTCCAAAGAACTGCAACATAATGTTCAAAATAATTTGTAGTGCAAGATCAACAACAAACAGATAAAATAACTTAGATGGATAAAAATAAATTAAATTGTGCAAAAACAGACAAAACTAAATAAAACAAAAAATAAAATAGGAAATACTTAAATAATGTAAATGAACAATTACTTGAATCACGTAAATGTTTTTTTTTTAAATAAATTTAAAGTTGAATAATTAGTCATTAAAACTATTTAAATGTATGCAACAATTTGCAAAAGATGAACTTAAAATATTAAATAGAATCATTTAGAAATTGTTACAATTTTTTTTTTTCAATTCCACTTAGGGGGCCCCCTAGTGGCCCTAAACAGCGGCTTGGTTTGCTTATACAGTACCTAAGACCGGCCCTGTCCAACGATAAAAGCAGTCTGAACTTTCTTTTCCTTACAAATACAAATTGATTGAAAATAAACATTTACTTAGAGTTCATAAAATGTTTTCTTCATAAAAACATACCTGAGAATAAATCAATTTGAGAAACAGATGCTTTTCTTAAAATAATTTGTGAACATTATATAATATATAGTAATTTATTATTCTGATTTTTGTTTTGTTTGATTTTTGTAAAATGTAAAATATACGTTTATTTGAGTAAATGGAGCATGGAGGATGGTTTACCCACGCGCTGCGGCGGTTTCTGACGTCACGCAGAACAGGGCCCTCCCCCTGCGCTCTGCCTCAGTATCAGTCAGTCCAGGATAACCAGGAGACGGCCGGATGGTTAAATCTAACCTACAGACGATTTTGAATAGTCACTGTTTTGTAAGAGAAAAAGAAAGAAATTTACCCAAGATGCCTGTTATTGAGCAGTCCAGTAATAACTCTGAAAGGTACGTCCGTGTCATCTGTTGTAATTAAACCTTTAAAGCTATGTTTAAAACCCGCTGTCCAACCGAAATGGGACAGTATAATTCCTGGAATAGCAGGTATAATTCATGTTGTTTTATTGTTAAAGTTGACAATGATACAGTCGAAGCTTTTACAGACCTGTCAGACACGTTTTGTTTTGTAAAAGTTCGCAATATATATATTTTTTTATTAATTTACCTGAAGCAATTAATCGGAATTTTAGATGTAGCAGATCGTTATCCAGGAAATAGACCAGTCAATTACCGCTGCTGTTGATATACGCATCTGTTAGCACGCTAATGCTAACCCGTAGGCCAAAATGAAAAATGTGAAGTGGGTTAGCTTAGTGCTAAGGTGCTAGCTGTCGGATTATTATTATTTTTTGTCAGTTTGGTAGACACTTAAAGTAAAGATATATTTGAATTACAAAAAAATGTTATAACTGTTGAATATTTTGTTTATTATGTACTTTTTCTAGTACAGACGCTTAAGCCTCAACTTTAGCCTACCGTTAGCATAATAAGGTAACGTTACGGATGTTGTTTTTATCGTTTCAGGAAAAAAAAAATACAGTGGGTAGTTGTCATTACCCCAACAGCATTTTACTTTCCCCTATTTATAATAATTGTGAAAATACTAGTAGCATAATATGTTTTAATTTAGTTTGTTGAGACAAGGCTGATATAATTTGTGACATTTTCTCCACTATTTGACGTCGATCAAAGCCAGGTCTGTTTTGCTTCTGGCTAATTACGTGTTAAAGTTAAGTATGATTAAATGAACCATTGTCTCTAGTTGAAGTCGAACTGTATTATATCACGGGGGAAATTAGGCTGACGGTGGATTTCGCAATGCGAATGTCTCTTGTGCAAGCTTCGCGTCAACTGAATCTATTTGTGAGAGTTGTGGGTTTATGCCACAACTCTAAATGCCTGCTGGTATGACCCATAAACCCTGCTGGTGTGGGTCATGATTTCAGGACATTTTCAAGCTATTATGTTCGAGTGCTGTTGCTAAATTCGTGTTCTGGCTCGACCGAGGCAGTCTGTCCAATCCTGTCGTCTTGTGAAGCTCAAAGGAAATTTCCACTGAGGCTGAGGGGGAGGAATAGACATATTTGAGACCAATAATAATACGCTGTGTTCTGAGTCAGTTCCTTATGCAATAGGTACATGGTATTCATATGGAGCAGCAGGGGTAGTTTTAGTCATTTTGAGTTTTAGATCAATTGTGTAACATCCCTGTAGCTATGAAAGTAGTGTTTAATGCACATATATGCCAGTACATTTTCATTGAAGTTGATGTTTTGGCTGTGGGTTTAGGTGGCTTTTCATGGTAGTTGTGCACTGCAAGGTTGCTCTTGATACTTGTGGAACCAGAGCAGATATTTCCATTAAGATGATCCAGGGTTCAAACATTTAAACTTTGTAACGTGTGACCCTTTTAATCCAAAAATCAAACTTTAAAAATCTCTGTGGAAGTCAAGAATTTTCACTCCATCACAGAAGCAAAAAAATAAGTTAGATATTGCATATTAACACAGTTTTTTTTTTTTTTATGAGAATGACACTGTTTTTCATTTGTTTTTCACACATATAGCGCAACAGTGTCATTTGCGTAAGAGATCATCTGAGAATTGGAGAGCATTTGCATTGTTGTTACTGCTAATGGATTCTGCACCTGTTAGGAACACAGAGAATAGTCCAACCTAACCGTGGGCAATGTGTACAGCTACACATAGAACCCTTAGTGTGCCATATTAAATGTATAAAATACTTCTGCATGAATTACAAATAAAAACAGTGTTCATGTGCTTAAGTACAAAGTAGACTTAACAAAAGTTGGACAAACCGCTTTCTCCTTCAACCTTCTCTTTTCATAGACTTCCTAAAAGAGACATAGAGCAAGCTGAACCTTGGGCAAATAATAAATGTAAAAAATGTTGTTTTGTGATGGTAAAGCCTTATGTGAGAAATGACTTTCCACTGAGGACAAAGATCACTCTGAGATAATTAACCGTAGAGTTTGTGGTAAATGTGTGACTAAAAGCAGATGTTCTAATCTGATTTTGTTTTTTATAAAAAATTAGTCCTTAAGTATAAAAGTTTCAGAATAACCCATTATAGCTTCCTGTTTAAGTAAACTACAAGTTAGATGTCATCCTTAGTAAACACATACTGATATCTGTACCTAGGAAAGGACAGTTATTGATTGAACTTTGTCTCTGCCCTTGTCTTTTGTGACACTAAGTTTTAGCAAATGTTTTACAGTCAAATCATCCTGTTGTGCATCATGCGCTGAGCCTCTTGTTTCATCTTTGGTAGCAGAGCTTCTGGTGAACACTTCACTCAAAATGAATCCATCTTTGTGTGCATTTGTTTCACTTTCCAGTATCTCCAGTCCCAGGAGGTGCTCCTGCTGTTGCAGTAACCCGTGTCCAGGGCCTCTGTGGTGCTCCTGATGCCCCTCTCCCACCCCTGAAGATCCCAGGTGGGCGAGGGAATGACCAGCGGGATCTCAATCTTTCAGCTAAACTATTTTACTCTGTAAGTTGAATTTACTTTCTTTCTTTTCAGAGGTTGAAATAATATTGTGTGGAATGTTTTACTTTTTTTGTCTTACTTTTATCTCTCTGTCTTTGTAGGATGCTCAGTTGTTGGTTCTTGAAGAGCCTCCCCCTGCAAACAGCAGAGTGCGTTTCTTGCTCTTTGAGCCCCGTCGCTCTGAAGGCAAGCATTGTGCCTGGAGGGCTGTGCTGAAAGGAGCCAACCTGTATGTTGAAATTCCTCCAGGAGCTTTGCCAGAGGGCAGTAAAGACAGGTCAGTAGTTTATTTTTAGATGTTTATGCCAGTAATCATAATTAAAACTGTTCGTTTCAGCAGTGGGTGGAGGGCAGGTAAATGGTTAAAGATTTAAAGTGATGTTTTGTAATTAAAATGGTAAAAACAAAAGTTTTATTTTGGAGAAAAAGCTCATTAAAGCCTCGTTGTTTGTTGTGATTTTCCACAGTTTTGCACTTTTGCTGGAATTTGCAGAAGAACAGCTGCAGGCTGATCACGTGTTCATCTGTTTTCACAAGAGCCGTGATGACAGAGGTGACTCTTTTTGTCTGATTGTGTTTGTGATTTTTTTTGTTTTTTTCATTCAACATTTATTTAGACAGGTAAATCCCATTGAGCCTCGAGGACTCATTTCCAAGAGACCTGATTTCAACAAAGAATGATGACAGCAATAAGCAACAACAATTAGTTTTAACAGAGTTTTTTTTATTTTTCAACAGTTTTAACAAAATCCTTGAGTTGCTGATTAACTGAATTGTCATGTATGAATAGCTGCGGTGCACAGTGTTAGTTTTGAATCATTTTTAAATGTGTTGTCACACTACCAAAAAAAAGCATTTTACTCACAATTTATGCATCATTTTCTAAAATGGCTGTAAGTTTTTGATAAATTTTTTTCTTATAATAAAAATGTTAAGTCTATTAATTTTACAGAAAAACATGTTTTGAGTTTTTTAAGTGTTATTGATGCTCAGTATAATATGAACATCAACCATATTATAATATCTACTGGCCTAATATTAAGTAAGTTACTCTTTTGCTTTCAAAATAGTTCTGACTAGTCGGTTCAAAAACGTTCAAGACAAAAACAGCTGGACTTTATTTGTAACAGAAGACGTTTCGCTTCTCATCCGAGAAGCTTTCTCAATTCTCAATTCAAAGAGCAGTGAGTGCAGGGTTCAGTTTATAAAGCTGAGATAAGATACACACATACATTTATAAAATGGCTCTCACACCTCACAGTAGGGGTTTGTTAAGGCCTTTGTTACTCTAATTCACAGATGTGGCCCCTCTGGTCCCATCTGATAGGTGTGAAACTGGCTCAGTATCAGTCCTAAAACTGCATTATAAGTTTTTGAAAGTTGAAATCTGAGACCTCCTCCTACCATCTCTAAACAGAGGGATGTTATTTGTGTGCAGAAATGTTTAGATAAGTGGTAAGTGTCAAAGTAATATTGATAAAAATTCCAAGATTTCACAGCAGAGCATTGTGTTTTACCAAAGTTAGCAGCTACTCACCTCACCTGCCATACTGTTATTGCTGAATGATGTATATGACAAATGTTGAGAGCCGAAATAGTTGTCAAAATATACATTTATTAAAATGTAAAATTTTATGTTTTTAATACAACTTCTAGACCATTAAATGATTGTTTGGGCATTAATGGAGACTGAATTGTATTTGCTAATGTTCAAATGTAAACAAACGGCTCAGAATTGTTGGCAACAAAACTTCACATTTTGCTCATTTATTACAAATTATTTGGTAGATCTTTGTAGTGAATGATGTGTATTTAGAAGTTATTTGCATCATAAATAATGCAAATTATAATAAACTAAACCATTTTAGTAATGCTTTATCTTACTAAATGTGACATTAGCTCTTGATTATTTAAAGATATTCAACTTTCATTGGGCAAAGTTTGTGACATTGAAATTGTACTGATGAAAGTCTTTCCATCTTGTTTCTCGTCAGCATCCTTGCTGCGGACTTTCAGTTTCCTGGGCTTTGAGATTGTTAGACCGGGTCATCCTCTCGTCCCTTCTCGACCTGACGCTTTCTTCATGGCTTACAGCATCGAGCGAGACTCATCTGACGATGATTAAAACGACGCTGAGCAGTTACAGATGTTTGTTGTTCATTTTCATTCATACCCACACACCTTTATAATTTTTGGAAATAAATATTGTCCTTGTTCAGTGCAGTTGAGGTTTCCTGTCCAAAGTGTTTCTTCTTTTGCCTACCATGTGCTGTGTTTCTATAAGCTTTGCACTAATAGCAGGAAGTGAGTGTCTGCATAATACCTGGGCAGAACCTCCTCACCACTACTTTTGTCCCCCCCGGCTTCTGATCATCTTTACAGTATATTTATGATCAATTGAAATCCTTACTGGTGTAAGTAGATGTTGTCATATTAATTATCAGTTGATTTTTCTGTTAATATTTTTTAATGTTGCATGATTTTAATTTGTTTTGATTTATTGCATAGAAATCTGCATGTTGTAACTGTACTAAATAAAAGTACTACCATAGAAGGAGATGTCTGTGGTTGTTTGAGTTATAGAAAACATAAATCATGAAGGTCTCAGAGGAACGTTTTAACACATTTTTTTAAAAAGAAGTCAGAGCATGTGGCCATCATTTGAATGTGGAAAGAAGGATTTGTTTTTTTCAGTCTCATGGGTGAGATGACTGAAAGAATAAAAATAGGTCGAAGAGAAGTGTGCAAGTTCTTATGTTTTTCATCTTGGCACCAAGAATCACTTCCTTTGCTGCAAACCAAAGCCTTGGATTAGCTTGCTGTTAAAACTTACCAACAAGTAGCAGCAAAACTATTTGATGTACAATGTTCATTACATAATTATAAAGTTATTTCTGCTAAATTCTTGATTGGACTTCAGAAATGTGGAATGTCAATTAGTTGTCATAATACTTTCTAAGTTTCATGTAGATTCTTCCTGTGGTTCATGAGATGTTTTGCTAACATTACAGACAAAACCACCGACATGGGTACAAACATTGCCACTTCCATGTCCTCAGCAGATGATCCAAGTAGAAATGTGTTAATATAAAAAATAAAAAAAAACTTGTTTGTAATGGTTCCATCCAAACGTTAGCTTTACCTGCTTCTTTGTTTAATTTATAAAACCTAATTAAAGTAACAAGTTTTCATCTATTTTAATTGATGCAACATTTATGAGTTATTAACAGTAACTGCAGGCAGGACTGGCAGCTGAAGCTCAAGTGCACGTTTGTTTTATCAACTTGCTCATTTTACATCTGAATCTGTGTTCAGAGCGTCCCACAGCTGTGTGGCTGCACCCTCGACTGTTTCAGAGTCAGTAAATGACAGATATTTCAGACACATATAATCCTCCCAGTCTAGGAGGGAATGATCCTGAATCAGTGCCCTCTCTGCCAACTTCATCACCAGCAGGGCTCGTTTGACAGTCAGCCAGTTCTGCACGGCGCCGGCTGAAGGACCTCTGTGGCTGAAGAGGGAGACCTGTGGGCCCCAGAGGAGCACCTGAAACATGGCTATTATCTCTGTCATCTGGGGCCCATCTTCACTGCGAAGCATGGAGGACAAATGATGAAGACTTGTTCGGTATGAAGACCGAGATGCAGATGGTTGAAGGCAGAACTGAATTAGATTTCCTATTTGGGATTTGATGAAGGTCAGAGGCTGAGGGGTCCCAAAAGAAGACTGCGGCATCAGTACAACACGGGGAGAACCACGTCTCCTCCAAAACGCTTGGACCCTCTCTATTTTCATGTCCTCCATCTGCTTGCTGCCCTGACCCTCAGAGACGTCTTCTTTCTGCTGGTTTTGTTGCTTATGTCTCTCCCAGCCGGGCCACACCAGAAGGATCTCCTGTGGTCTGAGCTCAGCTGCAGAAGCACTGTTGTTGTACAGGTGATAGGAGCCCATTAGGATCTGCAGCAGCAGAACACACACCTGCCTGTCATAATCCTGACACTCTGAACTCTGCAGGAAGCAGCTGTCCTTCACAAAGTCTTCCAGGGTGGTGCGTGGTAGATCCCGCTCAACTCTCACACAGTGTCCTCTCTGAAGGAAGAACTGAACTGAGAGAGATCCGGATGAACCCTCAGGGCTGCTTCCACCGGGTGGTTTAGAGGAACTACAGTCTGTCGAGTCGGAACCTTGTGGGGGACATTGCATCGTGCTGGTACTGTTTTTCAGGATGATGCTTGGCTGAAAATAAGCAACAACTTCTTGCACGTTGACGTGCGGTGGCTGGTTATGGCTGTGAGCCGATGGAGCTTCTTTTGTCCGTTCAAAAACCTGCACAGAAACATCTAAATTTAATAGATGACTCACACTACACTGATATACACAGAAGAGTTATCCGGTATGTTGCAGACAGATGACAGTTGAAAGGAAGTGCTTTTGGTACCACAAGTGGATCATTTGCAAAATGTTGATAAAGATCATGATTGCTTTACTAAGTTTGTGTAATGCATGCTAGTATTACAGTACTTCATATTCAATTTAATTCAGTTTATTTATATATTGCCAAGTCGCAACAGAAGTCATCTCAGGACACGGAACACAAACATTCATAAATATGATAATTTAACATAATTTATCTGAGGAGCAGACTGCTTTGAGTTTCACTCCATCACAGAACTCTCATCTTGAGCAAACATGAAGGCCACAGTGGAAATGAAAAACTCCCCCATGAGGAAGAAACCTTTAGCAGAACCAGGCTCAGGACAAGTGGCCATTGGCTTCAACCAGCTGGGTTTGAGAGGAACAGGAAGGAGGAACAGATACACAATGGCAGGTCGAGAATCACATGTTAAGATAGAAATAGTATCAAATGAAACTATTCAATTGTAACATTTCATTTTAAGAAATGAGGTCAATTTGTCCTCCAGTAGTCTAAAGCCAACCCTAATTATAGGATTTGTCAAAAGTAAAGTCTTAAGCCCAGTCTTAAAACTGGACAATGTGTCAGCCTCATGGACAGAAACTGGAAGTTGGTTCCACAAGAGAGGAGCCTGATAACTGAAAGACTTCTTCTCATTCTGCTTTTGGAAACTCTAGAAACCACAAGTAAACCTGCAGTCTGAGAGTGAAATGCTCTCTTAGGAAAATATGGAACAATAAGATCTCAAATATATGATGGAGCTAGGTTGTTGAGAGCTTTGTAGTTTAGAAGTAAGATTTTGAATTCAGTTCTGGATTTGACAGGGAGCCATTGAAGATAATCTTAAACTGGAGAGACATGATCTCTCCTACTAACTCCCGTTAAGACTCTGGCAGCAGTATTTTGGATATCATGTCATAAAGAACAAGTTTTAATTAAAGACCTAGCATTAAATTAAAGTTTGTTGCCAGAGTTTTAGACAAAGATCATCAGAATAGACATTTGTTGCCATTTTGATCACAACTTGAGAATGTGGCGTTGCGAGACGTCTCACAAAGTGTATGAGTTGTGAATGATTCTCACCACCACAACAACTTTTATTATAACATATATAATATTGAATATTCACAAGTTATAGCCACTCTTGTACTTTTTAATGTAAGTTGACTGTGGGAGCCATCCTGAATGGGGTTGACTCCAACGTTAATCACGAGTAGATGAACATGCATTGAGTACTTTCTGCACGTTTCATTAAAATGTCAAAATATTCATGAGCTATATCAGTAACAGACAGACACACAGGCAAGAGAAATGACATTATTATCTGCTTGTGCTGATATTTACCCTCAAACCGAGCTCCCGCTCAGGGAACTTTGGGCTGTGCAGGCTGTAGAAAGTCTTGTCACCGATCAACATTGACTTGCTTCCCTCACGCAGCAGGAAATCCTGAGGCTGGAGCGAGCTGAAGTCCCTCTTCAGGACTCGCAGCAGACTCTGGTCCTCAACACTTTGCACCACTCTTCTGAGAAAAAGCAGATGGCAGTGCTGAACCCCCTCAGAAACTATCCGCTGGTCCACACAGTTTCTAAAGAGCGATGAAAGGTGTTCATCTGGGGTGTCAAATGCCAGCTGGGAAAAAGGGGGTGACGGGACAGCAATGCTAGATGCTTGGAGGTCTTCTGTCTCCTCTTGAATGTAAGTATCAGATATCGGTGCCATCATGTACACAAGGTTATCAAAGTTCTGAGGGCGTCTGGGCAGAGGAGACAGCGGGGAAAGAGGAGGGAGTGAAAGTGCATTGGTGCCGGGGAGGGAGAGGGTCCGAGTCAGCCTCTTCCTTGGCACAGGTGGTGGAGTCCCATCAGAGAAAAATCTCTCCTGGTGTCTGCAGGGATCTGAGGAATACACGGAGAAACATTTCAGGTTTGTGTAGCAAGGAATAAAGCTGGGACAACAAAACAGCAACTCAGAAAGGTTGAATTTAATATGGGTTTCCTCACAAATATTATACTTTCAACATTTCTCATCATTTACAGAACGTGTCTGGAACAGAAGACAAAAACAGACCTGACAAAATACAGACCATTGAACAGCAGACATTTTATCCCAAGACATTGATGGATTTGTTCTCTGTGTATTTTAAACACAGACTTTTTACTTATTTATCACACCCTCTAAAGGTAAAAGCAATCATTTATAGCCTCTGTTTGTGCTCATTTATCTGTAGTTTTAGAAAAATATCTGATGGACCACTGAACAAATTTTGTTGGAATTCTCAGAAAGTAACCACCAGATGTAAAACTGATAAATATTTGGACTTAACCCAATTCAAGATGTTCACCACATTAATACAAAAATTACTATTTCTTATTCATCATTGAGATCTCTCATTCAGTTTTACAGATATCGAGCTGAATTTGGTGTGAAGCTGAGTCACATATATATATATATATATATATATATATATATATATGTGTGTGTGATTATTATTACTCATGCATGAGAGTCCATTGTACTGTATTGCACAACATTTCTAAAGTTGGATAAAAACAGCTATAAATTTGTTTCTTCTTGCTATAAGATGATTTAAGTTTAAAACTGGCTTAAAAGGAGGCAGGTGAAATGCACTTTGTCAAGTAATACAAGGCATTGAGCATTACATAAAGAAATGATGAAACTAAGTCACATTTGTGCCCCTAACTTAACTGTTCTGAAGCGATTTAAACATGATGGGCTGCTTTTGTTAAATTTTGAATCAAAATGCAAAGAAACTGATTTGCAAATCCTTTTGTTTTAGTTCAAATTTATGTAGTTTTGTTCAGATTGAGTTGTAAAGGGGAAAAAAAGCATCGGCTTTCTTTCTTTTTTTTTTCCCTTTTTTTTTCTTTCTTTTTTTGACTAAAAAAGAAAAAAAGAAAGAAAAAAAGGAAAAAAAAAAAAAAAAGGGAAAAAAAAAAAAAGCATCAGCTTTCTAATTCCGAGAGATTTTCAGAATTGATCATTCGCAAGTCATTGTCCTCTGTTTAAAGAGAACTTGTGTTTTACTAAAAGTACGTTTCAGAGTTACTTCCTCCCTTAAGTTCACACGAACTGAAAGATGAACTAAGAGGAGTGAACTACTCCTCTTTTGTTTCCCG